TTCCTCTTACTTCTCGGGTATTCCAGGAGGGAGACGAACACGCCGGCCGCTCTGCAGAGAAACGTTAAGGACCCTTCCCAACATGTTACAGTGTCAGTTCTCTTACTCTGCTGGAGGACTCTGCTCCTTCCTCTATGACTCTCCTCTCCTGATATACTCTGCTGGAGGACTCTGCTCCTTCCTCTATGACTCTCCTCTCCTGATATACTCTGCTCTGCTGGAGGACTCTGCTCCTTCCTCTATAACTCTCCTCTCCTGATATACTCTGCTCTGCTGGAGGACTCTGCTCCTTCCTCTATAACTCTCCTCTCCTGATATACTCTGCTGGAGGACTCTGCTCCTTCCTCTATAACTCTCCTCTCCTGATATACTCTGCTCTGCTGGAGGACTCTGCTCCTTCCTCTGTAACTCTCCTCTCCTGATATACTCTGCTGTGCTGGAGGACTCTGCTCCTTCCTCTATAACTCTCCTCTCCTGATATACTCTGCTGGAGGACTCTGCTCCTTCCTCTGTCTCTCTCCTCTGTGGAGGAAGGTCGGCCATGCTGAGTATGTGGAGTGTTTGTATCTCTCGGGACATTTTCATACCTTGTGACCTCAGTGAGGAGGAAGTTGGGAACAATCACACTGTGTCCAGATAATGGGATTCCCAGAGCTGTGATCTGTTTATTAGTAATGAGGGGGAAGTAATTACAGAGCGCACAGCTGACCTGTTGAGTAATCACAGGGAATTCCCCGCCACGGGCCGGGTGCAGAGGCTGCAATTAGAGGCGCTTCAGGAAAATAATTCCTCTTCTATTTATAGATCTCTCATCTTATTCTATTGCTTTGTCCCTCCTTCATCTCCTGTACTATGTCTGCAGTCTCTGACCATCTCCTGTAGCATGTCTGCAGTCTCTGACCATCTCCTGTACTATGTCTGCAGTCTCTGACCATCTCCTGTAGCATGTCTGCAGTCTCTGACCATCTCCTGTACTATGTCTGCAGTCTCTGACCATCTCCTGTAGCATGTCTGCAGTCTCTGACCATCTCCTGTACTATGTCTGCAGTCTCTGACCATCTCCTGTAGCATGTCTGCAGTCTCTGACCATCTCCTGTACTATGTCTGCAGTCTCTGACCATCTCCTGTAGCATGTCTGCAGTCTCTGACCATCTCCTGTACTATGTCTGCAGTCTCTGACCATCTCCTGTAGCATGTCTGCAGTCTCTGACCATCTCCTGTACTATGTCTGCAGTCTCTGACCATCTCCTGTAGCATGTCTGCAGTCTCTGACCATCTCCTGTACTATGTCTGCAGTCTCTGACCATCTCCTGTAGCATGTCTGCAGTCTCTGACCATCTCCTGTACTATGTCTGCAGTCTCTGACCATCTCCTGTAGCATGTCTGCAGTCTCTGACCATCTCCTGTACTATGTCTGCAGTCTCTGACCATCTCCTGTAGCATGTCTGCAGTCTCTGACCATCTCCTGTACTATGTCTGCAGTCTCTGACCATCTCCTGTAGCATGTCTGCAGTCTCTGACCATCTCCTGTACTATGTCTGCAGTCTCTGACCATCTCCTGTAGCATGTCTGCAGTCTCTGACCATCTCCTGTACTATGTCTGCAGTCTCTGACCATCTCCTGTAGCATGTCTGCAGTCTCTGACCATCTCCTGTACTATGTCTGCAGTCTCTGACCATCTCCTGTAGCATGTCTGCAGTCTCTGACCATCTCCTGTACTATGTCTGCAGTCTCTGACCATCTCCTGTAGCATGTCTGCAGTCTCTGACCATCTCCTGTACTATGTCTGCAGTCTCTGACCATCTCCTGTAGCATGTCTGCAGACACAGGGTCCCCACTGGGGAGACTCCCCCTCTCTAGGTGGCCATTCCTGGCCGAGGTGACAACGTTCTCAGAGGTGTTGGTGGGAAATGAGTCTTTATGAAGGATACATGGAGTACGCACCAAACTGCCATCCTTTAAACTGCCCGGCGACTGCCACGATGCCACCCGAGAGGAGAACTGCAGGAGAAACAGAGAAGAAAATGGAGGCGTCAGATGATCGGCTGTCAGTACACGCAACACACACATAGATCGATGTCATCATCAGGTCCTCAGCAGGCTCCTCCCACTACAGGCTCCTCCCACTACAGGCTGCCTGCAATAAACTACAAGAGGGGGCGGAGACCAGACCAGTCACCCAGCACAAGGAGAGAGCGCAGCAGTGGGCGGTCTTTATTATAGGAGGGGGCGGAGACAAGACCAGTCACCCTGCACAAGGAGAGAGAGCAGCAGTGGGCGGTCTTTGTTGTGTACACACTGCCATGTACTAGGACTATTTTCTGGGTGAACAGAAGATGGAAATTGTCCGTTCCGATGGATCTTTGTTGGTGAATCTCGTCGCCCTTTTCACCTCCTAACG